TTGTAATAATTAGAATAGGGATTGTTATTTTGATTATTAATAACATTCAAAGTTTCATAAGATGATTGAGTATTAATTATTTGTCTTAACAAATTTCCTTTAATGCTGGTGATATTTGAGAGTAGTTCGCTACAGTTTGATCAATTTGTTTTGATATAGCAACAATTTGAGATGCTAAAATAGACATTGCATCAGAGTCATGAATACTAGCTACAGAGTCATGAAAGTCATGAATACTAGCTACTCTCTTAGCATTTACCCGTTCAGAGAGCCAATGAAAGTTTTTAGTAGTCATTTCTTCTATTAAAGAGTATGTTTCATCAAAAGGTTTTGACATTAGAGATCCTACTGTAGTAGCATCTATAATAGATCTAAGTGATCTTACTAATCCATTGTAATAAGTTTGAATTATTAATCAATCTGGTAAAGCATGGTGTGGACATTTTCTAAGGAGATCCTTAAATCTTTCTCAGGCTTCATATATTGATTCTCCCTCAAACTGACAAAAAGATGTAATATCATTTCTAAGCTTAGCAGTTTTCGAGGGTGGAAAATATTTAGCCAAGAATTTTTGGGATAGTTCTCCCCAATTTCTAATAGATCTAGGTGCTAATGAATTTAACCAAGCTTTAGCTTTATCCCTTAATGAAAAAGGGAAAATTCTAAGCCTAACAACATCATTAGATACTCCATTATATATAAAAGTAGCACATATTTCAAGACAACTAGCAAGATGTAAGTTAGGATCTTCAGTAGTAGGATCTTCAGGATCTTCAGTAGGTGTTCCTTCAAACTAATTATTTTGTACCATTTGGATAATAACACGTTTAAGCTTAAGTGAATTAGCAGCAATATCAGGATTTTGAATAGTTAAGTGAAGTTGATCTGCTGTTGAATTAGCATAATCTTTTAAAAATCTTTGTTGATTTTCGTTTATTTAATTATCTAAGTTATTCATCATTTCGTCCAAATTTTTAATTTCATTTTTTTATTTTCAAATTTTCTAATAGTATGTTCAAATTCCGAATCGTAAGTAACTAAACCTTCAGATCCAATATTCTGCATAAACAAATATAATTAGCAAGAAAAATTTCTTTAAAATACCCTTAAATATGTAGAGATTAAAAAATAAAAAATATATATATAATCAAAATAAATTATTTTGATTATATATATATATTTTATTTTTTAATCTCTAAATTTCTTAATTTACCAAATCTATTTAATTTACTGTTACCTTCCCCGACAACGGTGCTAAAAACTTGATCCTAAATAATATAGTTGTATAAAATTTATAAAGTTCACTCCGCTTTACAACGGTGCAAAAAATTTGATGTTGTATTTTATGAATAATAACATTAAGCACTTAATGTTGTCATTCTATGCAAGTATACGTATCGTTATAAAGTAATATAAGACTTTCTATTCAAGTCCCAAATATTGATCCCATGAGGAAGGTTTAAATTTGATATGTTAAATCAACTAGAAAATTCACATAAATAAAACAAAATTACTGTCACTAATTTTGAAAGTTTAAGATACTATCAAAGCTAAATTATTAACTACTGGCAGAATTTAAATGCAAAGTTTAAAATAGTAACTACTAAATTATGTTTATGTGATGAAGTTTTCTAATATGAAAAAGTATCTTTCCCACTACACTGAGTTTTTGGTGAAATGAGATGAAATAAATGGTTTAAATATGTATTGTGCCAAATAGGAGCAATTTTATTTCTCTACCCTGATTGAGTGTTATAGAAAATCATTGGTTAATCTTAGGTTTTGTTCTAAAATTCGTGGCTATCAATCCGTGGCTATGTTAGGAGGATACTAACTACCACTCCATAGCTCCCTCTTTCCTTCCTCTGAAGGCTAACTCCTGCTTTAGTTCTTAAATACTAAGATTGAATAGAGGATTTAAGTCTGTCTCCCTAAAAATCTCCAATTTTTTACCCAACAAAGTATATTTCCCTATTTATTTGCACTTAATTCCATGAACAAAATACTCTTTCATGGACTTAAATGTGATTCTCACTCTGTTGTAGAACTCATACTCCATTTCCCGAATCATATGTTTCACAACATATTTTAACAATTTAATTGGCCAGATCGAAAAGTAAATTAAGAGCGGAGTTGAAAAATCATCACACTTTGTTTTATATTTTAACATTGGGACATCCAAATTATCTCTTCATTTTACCATATCTCATAGTAATGAGAAAGATAAAGGAAACTACTCAAACTTTATGAGAAAGATACAACAAAACACAAATTTCATATATAAAAGAAAGTTCATACAACAATAATAAACAAACAACACTTATCTAAAACTCTTTCTTAAAGCAAATCCCTTGTAGCCTCCCTTATGAAATGTAGGAAGAAGAAATCTCTCACTTCTCTTCCTCTACAACACTCTTTAGAGTAGAATTCACACTTAAACTCGCCATAAAAACTCAAAATTATAAAGAAAATAAATGACTAATGGTGAGGAATGGCGTGGAAGGATGCAAAGGGGGTGCGAAGAGTGTGAAGAGGAGATCGGAGTGAGTGGAGGAGCGGGAAGAGAGTTTTTTTAATCTATTTTGGTTCTAAATAGAGCCTAGGGTCGGTTCACCAATAGGTGCATCCAAAAACTCTTCAAAAAGTGTCCAAATTCGCTGAATCTTCTAGAAACAGGGTCTGCACCGACACTAGCGTCGTCGGTGCCCATTCTGGCGCCAGTGGCCATTTAATTAACTATGTGTTCTCTGTCAAACGATGCTGTCGGCGCCCAGTCTAGCGCCATTAGCACTGAACAATTTTTCAAAAAATCCATTTTGACTCTAAATTTCATTCTTTTTGCTTCATTTTTGTTCCAAGTCCTAAAAATCAATAACCTACAATAAAACATGAATAATACATTCCATTAAAGTGCAATATTACCAAAAATGAGTATGAAATATGGGTCTAAAAATGTATATATTTTTTTGGTGTATCAACATCCAAGGTAAAGATATATCGAGTATTAATTGGCTTAAGAGAGTTCCAATTATTTTTAAAGTCGATAAAGGCATACCAGCCACCCCAACTCATCCTTAATTTCTCCTTCTGTGTCCATTAAAAAATCCACTTCAGGTGGGATATTCTAAGAGGGTCGCGAACTTATGTTTTAAGTGGTCACATCTTCTGCAAAATCCTTTTCCTTATGTAAGTGATCTCACTCTAAATAGATTAGTTTTGAAAAATTTACTGTGTCGACTGACTCTACAATTGACTCCACCATCGATTTAACCATCAGCTCTATAACATTCTTCGTCGGTGGTCCTCTCAGCTCCATAAGAAAGGCCTGACTAGTATAGCTCGTTGTCTCTATAAAAATGAACCCCTAATCGGGAGGATGGGCGATGAATGTCATCACTTCAAGAGGAATTTTTTATTTTCCCTCTCTGCACTGACTTGGCACACCTTCCTAAACATCGTGCCATCAGTCTTCTCACCAATACCCTAGTTATCTGCAACTAGATGAGGTGCATATATCATTTTTTTATACATCAACCACTCAATTGGGATCAGTTCATCAGCCATCATACTCTAAATAATTTTTTTTTAACAAGAAACAAAAAGAGTAATATCCTTACTTTCCAGATTCATGTCTAGCTTCTCATTGATCTTCTTTTTTACTATAGATGCATCATGCTCAGCCTGAAGAGCATCATAAGCCTTCTAATTGACCTCAATCATCTTAATATGGGTGTTGAAGGCAAACACAAAGTTGAGCACCCAAGATTTAAGTTATTGTTGGATGGATATCGGCTTCCCCTCCATTGTATTCGCCTTTAACTGTGCCTTAAGGGATACCTTTATCTTGGTCTTCGGAGGAGAGATGTTAGTCAACATTGTCTTGATCGGACAATCGTTCTTTATGCAAACAAAACTTTACTTGAGCTTTGTATCCGTCATCTTATTCTCAAGCTCTCAAAAAGGAAACTATACTGTGGATAAGAACTGAACCAATCCATTTTAATAAATTCAAAAAGCGAAGAGGTGGTTGAAGAGCTTGATCGACCATGTAATCCCCATCTAACCCATGAATATCATAAATTTCAATCGCAATGATTGAGTTTGACAACATATGGGCCAGGACGATCTAGCAGAAGCTGAAAATAACTCACAATCCTCACACAACATGAGTCAGAGACAGCCAGATTGATTCTCGTGTTTTGCCAACTTATCCTTTCTTATGGGATTTGATCATTCCTCCTTACCGACGACCTAGAGGCAGACAGAAGAGTAAACACATGGTCCTCCAAATATTCTCTAAACTCATCCTTACTCATCTTTGATGAGTTGAAAAGGTGGGCTATCACAAACTCCATTAGAGAGTAGTGGCGGAGAGCCATGTGTCAGCTAGAGAGAGAAACTATGATGGAAAATGTAAAAGAAAGTGTGCTTGTCACCATCAAAGGTCCTTCTATAAAGTCAGAGGAACCCCAGCCATCACAAAAAGGGTTAGATCAGATACGATCATCAGAAGATCGAAAGATTAACCAATGAAAAAATATAGTGCAAAAATCGAAGAGCTAAATAAAATTTATTAGTTCAATTTGATTGACATGAAATTAAAATAAAATGTGAAATATTATTTAATTTTTATTTGTTTAGTTAAAATGAAATGAAAAGTGATTCAATAATTGAAAACCAAATATTAAGGTTTAAAAAAAATTGAAATATATTTTGAAATCAAACTGAATCAACCAAGTTTGATCGGTTTACTTCGGTTTTTTGGTTTTGATAGAACAATGCGAACCCCTAAGGGAAAGAAGTAGCCCACAAACAGGTTCGAGGAAACCTTAGTCAAGACATGACCCAGCTGAAGTAGTCTTCAAAACAAGAACCCCCCTTGATCTAAACTAACTTATCCTATTAGACTCAGCCTAAGCATGAGAATCTTGCAATCTCTCTCACATTTCTACATGCTCTTGGGAAACACGAGTTCGAGGCAAATTTAGTTGAGATATGACCTAGCCGAAGTAGCCTTTGAAGCAAGAAATCTCCCTCTCATATTTAAGTTGACCTAGCATATCAGACTCAGCCTGAGCCTGAGAAACCGAGAATTTGTAGATCAATGAACATTTAATAGAGGGGCGCCACCATCTACTTCATCGTATAAACCTCCTCTTATACCTCTATTTTGCAAGATGACAAGGCATGTTTCTTTGATCACTGTCATATCCCAATATTATGCGCTATTAAGAACTAGATCTCATTCACACGACAAGCCAACATCTTGTGGTCCACCTGAATGTCTTCAACAATATCCTCACGTGTCTCCAAAGGGGCCAAGAGATCTTCTAGATTATCGACTCTCCCATCTTCATTGGCAAGCCAAGCATCTCATTTCATCACCCGCTGAACATCCCCTACCAATGCGATCAGAGATTTGCTTACATTTAAATGAGCAGAAGCATCTGTAACATGAAAGACCCAAGAGATTAAATGTCTGAGCAATGACAGAAGTCCCTAACTGGTCAGTGACCCCAAACACCTATGGCCATGATCATTTTTATCACTGTAAATTCTTTTAGGTGGACTCCGTACCACAACAAGGGAATTTAGATGTTTGTTGAGTGATTTGATTAGAAGATGTGTCGCAGTGACAAGTTGAATGATCGGGTCTTGGGTATGGTGACCGGCTGATTTGAAGATGAACCGGCTGATTTGAAGATGATTCCATCCTATTTTCCCACAATTTTCTTCCTTCATTCACCCTCATGATGCTTCGTGCATTTCTCCTCTACGAACATCCCATGGATCATAATCTCATATGGGATGTCAGTTTTGGACTTTGTAGGTTTTTCGATCACAAGCTCCCATAAAGCAAAAGGACGACTGCAAAGAAAGGTAGAACAAATGCTCATGCAAAGCAGGGCCACCAGAAAAGGAAAGGAGAGTGCAAAGCATGCAAATTTAGAGAGATGTCTCTACATCCTATTAATAGCATTTGATGGCTTGAAATTTAATGAAGTGTCAATCATTAAGGTCATTTAATAATAACTAATCTTTTGTTATGTTTAATTTTCTTTTAATATTACAACACAATCTAATAAGATACAAGAGAATAAAGAACTAAAATATATACAACAAAAACATTCTTGAACCAATCTTCCGTGAATTTGACGATTTCGAGCAAAACAAGTGTCAAAAGATAAATCTCAAGTGATGTCAGGGTGTCCAAAGCAAGAACTATTGAAAGACAACAGTAACTCAATCAGAGGTCGACCAAGCGGGTGATCAATAAAAGTCAATCAATCAAGGGCCAACTGATCTGAGGTCGATTGAGTGTGTGACGATCAGAAGGCCATCAATTAAGGACTGACCTACCAGAGGCTGACTGATCAAAGGCCGGCCAACAAGAAGATAACCTGTCATACACTAATTAATTAGTAGTCGACTTGCTTAAAAGGCTAAAATTAAACGATCAAGAGTCAGACGACTAAAAAGAATTAGGGGTATAAATATCATTTCACAATAATTTTAGTACCTTATAAAAAAAGAGCATTAAATGTAAAATGTCTTTTTTTTAATAAAAACATGGTATAGATGACTCTGAAGCTCTCTCTCTCTCTCCTTTTATGATCTTTTCACTGGATCTTATTCACAGACAAATATGAATTCAATAATTTTAAAAAAAATTAATTTTAGTACATAGGATGAATTAAATATCTTGAATATTGACGTGTTAATGACAATTTTTGTTAATTATCAAGTTATAATTAAAAAGTAATTAATACTAATTTTTAAAATATTATTGAAGTAAAATAATAATATGTTACTTCTAAAAATATAATTAAATAAGTTTTAGTAATCAATTTCTTTCTAAAATATAGGTCACATATGATATAAACCACCATTGAGCTTTAATACTAAGCATTTAACAAATAAAATTTAGAACAACAAACAAATTTATACATGAATATAAATAAACAAATTAGATTACACGTATTCAAGTTTGATTTATTTAATATTCATGGTTCTTAAAACATTTAAACTTAGTTTTTAAATCTATTTGTTTGGTTGGATGAAAATGAAATAAAGTGTAAACTTTTGGTGAATTTTAAATTCACCATGCCTTTCAACCAGTGAATACAACGCATTGCAACTTGTCGTTGACATTACAGGACAATCATCACCCATACTGATGCCTCTATCCATCCACCACCCGCCACCCGCCACCCGCCACCACTGCATCCAACCACCAACCACCAACCACCTACCGCCCACATCATTGCCGCCACCATCACCAAACATATTTTACATTAACTTTAATTTTCATTAAACCAAACAAATTCATATATTTCCTTTAAGCCAAAATAAATAACTTCAAAGTATTTCCAATACATGTAAAATAGTAATGCACTTAGAAGTTACACTTTAGTTCATTAGTGATGTATTTAGAATTCAATTATTTTGGCAGAAATTCAAATACATAACTTCACATAAATTGTCACCAACAGCTAGAACCACCAAGCTCCACAATCAAACAACATCAAAAAATTTCAAATACGTCACATTACTCGTACATTTTATTGGTTTTTCTTACATTGCTTTTTCAGCAAACCAAACAGCCCACATCTCAATTAAAGTGTATTCATCAAACACTGCATTTTTTTTCAGCTGGCCACAGCCAAAATCTTGGAAGTTCAGAATACATGCATGTCTTATCAAACCAAATGCATGCAGAAAAAGCCAATAGGGTCTAGCAATCTTCAATCTCCCTAGTAATAATAATAATAATAATAAGCATTTACACATACCAACAAATTTCTATGTATTAACATTTCTAACACCTAAACTTCACTTTTTACATTTATGCCACCAAAATCATTCATCTCCATACATCTTTCATGCAAAAAAAGGAGACTTGTATAAATTGAAGTAGACTTGTAAATACATAGGAATTGAGTGATATGAATGTAAATCTTTCTAATAATAATCATAATGAGATGAAAATCATAATCATAACAACAATCATAAGGATAAAAAAGCAATATTTGCAACTTTGCAACTGAAACCAAATTCCATATTTAGCTGCAATTTAATGTACAAAATGCATTAAAACTTGCTGCAGCTGCAATATCATGTACAATAAAAAGCTCAAATTACATTGCATAGAATCAAATACCAGGTTGACAAAAAATTCTAAAAAAAGATTGTGGCACTTACGTACGTACCATAAATCCGTGTATTTACATATCTAACACCAAAACTCTAATTTCTACAATTACACCAATTAAAAGCTCAAATTACACTGCATATAATCAGATACCAGGTTGACAAAAAATTCTTAAAAAAAATTTGGGGCACTTACGTACCATAAATCCGTGTATTTACATATCTAACACCTAAACTCTACTTTCTACACTTACACCACAAAAATCTTTCATATCACATCAAAGATGCCACTTTTTTAACTAAAAAAAAAGTAAATACAGCTTTTCATTCATATCTGCATCCATACACCCAGACCATGTAAACAAAAATAAGAAATTAGGGCCCGTGCCAATTACATAAAAAATCAACCGTATGAGAACTGTACTCGATCAATCTCTCCTTCAAAAGGCGCATGGCAGCTCCAGGGGAGAATTTTCTTGCAAACAGGAAGCAGGGTACAAATGTAACGTTGCATTTGCACCATTCGGTCCGTAAATCTGTCTCATAATATACATTGTTGATCCCCTGCAAAAGTTTAACAAGACTATTTAATTAAAATGAAGCTAAATGCTATGAATTATGGAATTATAGGTGATATAAGAAGACAAGGCGAGGCTAAAGATGTCATTGCAATAAAATGGGGGGAATTAGTTATATGATTAATTAGTAGAAGATTGCAAGTTGGTCCACTCTTTTATTCTATATTGCAATTTGTTCCCTTGTTTCGGAAAAGCAGGCTCTTCTTATCTTGAAAACAAGCAGCTCGAACTTCCCATTTTCACCAAACAAGCTATCCCAGCTGAGATTTTAACAGCAAGGATAAACATGCCACAAAAAAAGAAAGTAGATGCTTCTTGATAAATTGAAAAACTAGTAGCCACTAATTATACTAAACAAATTTTTACCTAAGCATGAAGGCGGAAAAGCCATAATGCAAGCAGAAGGTTCTTGATAAATTGAATTACTAGTGAAACTATGAACAAAAATGAGAAATCTAACGGCAGGCAATCCTTCTATGATGTTTTATGCACAAAAACTAAAACATGTATGTAATTTGGAAATATGGTTTTTTTTTAATTCTTTCTTTCAGAATTGAATAAAATGATTTTTGAGATAGCAGCAGCTGCAACGGCAGACAATGATGGCAGCAGCCAATTATAATTTTTATTTAAAAAATAAAAAAAAAACCACCAAGCATAAATGAAAACGGCCTCAAATAAATAGCATTAAATGTTTAAAAATTAAAATGCAGAAAGTATCTGTCAAAATATTAAAAGAGTGCTAAAAAACCAAAGAAGGGAAAAAAGGTCACAAGTTAAGATCATTTCGATCAAAGTACTTTAGAGAAGTTTCACATTTCACACTGGAAAATAGAAAGCCAACCTGCTTATCATTGTGTAAGGAAAGAGCAGAATTCTCAGAAAGCAACATCTTATCAAGGGTGATATGATGCTGTGAGAGGTCCGCCTTATCCTCATAATAAAGAAGTTCTTTAGTATCAGGGTCAACAGCCATAATAATTTCATCATTCCCAAGACGGGTTTGATGTGTCAACTTTGAGGGCTTCGAATGTTTGATGACCATGGTCATTATAGCAAGAGGGTCCTTCTTCCTCCTGTCTTTGTGTTCACTGAGTGCTTTGGCTAAGCTCATGTTGCTGGGGGGGGTTGGGGAGAGGGGTGATTCAATTCATTTCATGAATGTGAGTTTTACAATAATATTTGCCTTATTGTATTTTAGTATGCATATCTTCCAAACCTTGTCCTTCAATCTCATTATTTCCAACTTCTTGAAAGCTCCAAAGATCACTTGCAATGAGCAGGTTTCAACGAGACTGTCTACTTTAGGTGTTAGGAAAATTAAACCAATAAGATTGATTAAAACAATTATCATAAACTAAATATAATGTTTTTCCCCTCTTATGAATCCTCTTCACATGGTAGTAATGATTTAGACGACGATCTAATACTCCTATTGTTTCTAGAAAAGGAGTAAGGAGTTGCACTAAACACCCAATTTTTTATTATATTACTTGTGAAAAATTTTTCCCAAGTATCATGCCTTTAATAAAAATTTTCTAGCTTGTAAGAGAGAGAGAGAGAGAGAGACAACAACAACAACAAGCCTTTAAACAAGCCTTTATCCCACCAAGTGTGGTCGGCTACATGAATCATTTTTCTCCATTGCATCCTATTGAGTGTCATATTTTCATTTAATTCTAATAGAATAAGATCATCTTTTATTACAATATGCCCAAGTCTTTTTAGGTTCTACCTCTACCTTTTTTTACTTCGATCAAAGCTAAAACATCTACTCTCTTAATCAAATCGTTAGATGGTCAACATTTAATGTGACCAAAACATCTAAGACGACTCTCTCTAATCTTATCCGCCACTAGAGCTACACCAACCCTATCACGGATATATTCATTTAGAATTTTGTCTTTAACATCAGCCTTCTCATCTCAGCAACACTTACCTTTGCTTCTCTTTTGAAGGCCAACATTCTGCATCATAGAGCATTGCAGGTCTCCCCATTTTATAAAATTTTCCTTTCAGTTTAAACAGTACTTTTCTATCACACAATAGGTCTGAAGCATTCCTCCACTTCAACCAACAAATTATAATTCTATTAATAACATCCCCATCTATATTACCATCATTCTGAACAATAGATCCAAGAAATTAAAACTTTTACACCTTTTAGTGATTTGATCATCCATAATTACAACTCTGCCACGAGAGACTACCTCTACTAAATTTGAATAACATTCCATGTATTCAATTTTAGTTCTACTCAAACGAAGGCCTTTACACTTCAAAATAGACCTTCATAATTCAAATTCTTCTGAATTCTTTTTCTAGTCTCATTTACAAGAAGGATATCATTAGCCACAAGGATACACCAAGGTACATCCTCCTGTAAATGTCCAGTAAGTGCATCCATAACTAAAGCAAAAAGATATGGGCTTAAAGCTAATCCCTGATGTAGTCCAACTGAAATAGGAAAACACTACGTCAACCCTACTATTCTAACATAAGTAACAGCTATAGTATACATCTTTTTAATGACTCAAAAATAAGTCATATCAACACATTTTTTTCTCTAGAACTCTCTAAAGGACTTCTCTTGGAACCTTATCGTAAGTTTTTTTTCTAAATCAATAAAAATTAAATGTAGATCCTTCTCTCTGTACTTTTTCATCAAACCTCTTAATAAATGTATAACTTTCATAGTAGACCTGCCCGTCATAAATCCAAACTGATTATCAGAAATTTTTGTTATCACGTCTTAACCTACATTCAATTGAATTACCCTCTCCCAGTTGACACATCAACTCAATTCCTCTATAATTAGCACACTATTGTGCATCCCCTTTATTCTTAAAAATGATGACCAAAATACACATCCTTCATTCCACAGACATCTTTTTAGTTTTTAAAATAATACTAAAGAGTTAGGTAAGCCAAGAAACTCCCAAATCTCCTAAATATTTCCACACTTCAATGGGGATATCATCAGGTCCTACTGATTTTCCACAGTTGGTTCTCTTTAAAGCATCAACTTCTTTTTACTAATGCAATCATAAAAGTAAAATATTTTATTATTATTAACGACATTAAGATCACTAAAGTCGATTATATTTTTGAAAACTTCATTGAAAAGTTTATCAAAACAGCTCACCTATATGTTCTGAATATCTTCTTCTAAGAAAAACACTTTTTATTTTCATCTTTCATATACTTGAGTTAAATCTTTACTTCTTTTCTCTTGTTTGGTTAATTTATACATAATTTTTTCAACCTCTTTAGTATCCACTCTATTGAAAAGATCACTAAAAGAAGAATTTTTAATATTATAAATTGTTCTCTTAGACTCCCTAAGGACCAACTTATATTTTCTCGATTCTCTAAGCTTTTACATTTAAATCAATTTTTATAACACAATTTATATTTTATCTTTTCTTCCACATTATTATTCCATCACCAACTATTTTTATTTATAGAATTTTTTTTCTTTTGATTTTTTAAGTACATCTTTTGTCACTTGTTTAATCGTGTTTGTTATTTTATCCCACATAAAATTTGTTTCTTCATGAACATCTCAAATCTTGAAATCTTGCTTCCTCATGAATATCTCACAAATTTACTTTTTCAGGAACATCCCAAATGTTGAACTTAATATGGTTCTATCTTCTTTACAAAACTAATTGGGTTGGAGAAATATCAAGGAGATTAATGGCTTAGGTTTTAAACTTAATCACTCCAATACATATACATATATATTCAATACATAAAATTTGCTCCACGTGAATTTGTTTCTAGCTGCTCAAGAAGCCAACAAGTCAAGTTTGATTATTTAACAAGTAGTAAGTTTACTTCGAGCTCAATTTTATGGCTCAATGAGCTTTTGGCTTTTGAATTTGTTACCAAGTCAAACTTGAGCTGGCTTGGCTCACCTGCACTCATAGTTACGGCCTTGGCTACAACCTTTTTCACTAAAGACATGTCTTTAGAGTTTATTTTAAGTATTGAATATATAACTTGTGGATGTACTTAGAATAATAACAAAATAATAAACAATAACCTTGAATAAAAGCAATCACACATAAGAAGGTGAGAAGTTATTAATCTTAAATTATTAACTTCTTTTCTCTTGTTTGGTTAATTTATACATAATTTTTTCAACCTCTTTAGTATCCACTCTATTGAAAAGATCACTAAAAGAAGAATTTTTAATATTATAAATTGTTCTCTTAGACTCCCTAAAGACCAACTTATATTTTCTCAATTCTCTAAGCTTTTACATTTAAATCAATTTTTATAACACAATTTATATTTTATCTTTTCTTCCACATTATTATTCCATCACCAACTATTTTTATTTATAGAATTTTTTTTCTTTTGATTTTTTAAGTACATCTTTTGTCACTTGTTTAATAGTGTTTGTTATTTTATCCCACATAAAATTTGCTTCTTCATGAACATCTCAAATCTTAAAATCTTGCTTCCTCGTGAATATCTCACAAATTTACTTTTTCAGGAACATCCCAAATGTTGAACTTAATATGGTTCTATCTTCTTTACAAAACTAATTGGGTTGGAGAAATATCAAGGAGATTAATGGCTTAGGTTTTAAACTTAATCACTCCAATACATATATATTCAATACATAAAATTTGCTCCACGTGAATTTGTTTCTAGCTGCTCAAGAAGCCAACAAGTCAAGTTTGATTATTTAACAAGTAGTAAGTTTACTTCGAGCTCAATTTTATGGCTCAATGAGCTTTTGGCTTTTGAATTTGTTACCAAGTCAAACTTGAGCTGGCTTGGCTCACCTGCACTCATAGTTACGGCCTTGGCTACAACCTTTTTCACTAAAGACATGTCTTTAGAGTTTAAGTATTGAATATATAATAAAAGTTGTGGATGTACTTAGAATAATAACAAAATAATAAACAATAACCTTGAATAAAAGCAATCACACTTAAGAAGGTGAGAAGTTATTAATCTTAAATTATTAAAAGAGGTTGTGAATGCTAAATAAATACTTCAACCTTATTGAAGACAATCTAGATTAGCATGTCCCAATGAATTAAGAAGATTGTCATAACAACGATGCAAATCATGAGTTAAGGTTACAGTACTTAAATAATTAAAACTTCTCCATCCCTATGATTCCCACCACATCTTCACCTTTCTCTTTCTCATTGTTGTGATACTCAATGCCAAAAATACAAGATCGGAAACAAACGGTTTATAAAGCGTGGTTTGCGACTTCCATTTTGTATTTGTCTTGCTTGAGTTCTACACAAGGTCAGCATTGTCGAGAATTTGGCTTTGCTAGTGCTGAGATTAAACATATTATTTATCAATAGAGCCAGGTTCTGACTCCTTGGTTTTGAGCCGATCGTACCATAAGAGAGCTGGGCTCAAATAATGGACTCGCTTACTCCTGTAGCTATAAAATTTAGTAATTTCAGGCTAAATACTAAAGGAGGAGAAAGAAGACCTATAAAATTTAGTAATTTCAGGCTAAATACTAAAGAAGGAGAAAGAAGACAAAAAATAACTATTATAAGAAACAGATATATATAGACACTAATTAACTTAGATGTATTACGGGTGAGGAAAATACATGTTAATAAAGTTGAAGGCATCAAGAGATTAGGAAGAAAAACTATTTGAGATAGTCTAAATAAAATTTTTTAATAAAAAATTTTATTTAGACTATCTCAAATAGTTTTTCTTCCTAATCTCTTGATGCCTTCAATTTTTTTTAATAAAAAATTAGATTTAAAAATTAATTAAGATCAAGTAGAGTATACCATGGGCTAAAAAATAAAAAATAGTTTTTCTTCCTAATCTCTTGATGCCTTCAATTTTTTTTAATAAAAAATTAGATTTAAAAATTAATTAAGATCAAGTAGAGTATACCATGGGCTAAAAAATAAATTAAAGTTGAGTTCGTTTTGAAAATGTATATAAGTTGAGGCTTCAATTGGTTCTCTACTATTTAGCTGCATTTGTGGTAGGAAAACCAATATGCAATAAGGCACAAGT